CTCTTTAATTACAGAGTAAGGTGGGGTAAATCAATTAGGTTTTCAGTGGTGTCTTCTTTTTTCTCTTATAACTTTTCTATTTTTCATCGGATAAAAGAATTTTCGCTACCAACTATGTAGAGCAGAAAAAGCTCTATAAGACTATGTTTTTAGTTTTTCAAAATACTTTTTAGGAGCGGATCTACGCCGGTTTTCAGAAGACCACCTCTTCAATCTTTGATTTACTCCTGTTTGGGGTAAATCAATCATTATGCTTATCTATTGGGGTAAATCAATTACTATAGCTAATTTTGTTTAGTTTTACTTAAGTCATAAAAAACGTTATTTTTAAAGACTCTGTAAATCCAAGTTCGAAAGTTTTTAGATCGTTTGAAAGCCTAAATGTAACGATAAGATATGATATCGTGTATTCAACTGTCTTTATTTCAATCTATCCATTCCTTTTATATTTCTCTTTCCTTTCCACGCGAGTCAATCAACCGTGGCGGAATGAAGAGAAGCAGCGAGAGAAATAAAGAGACACAGAGAGAGAAAAGAAAGAGAGAGAGAACACACGGGAGAGACAAGATATACATACAGGGATAATTATGCACACAGTTGTTCACTAAGATAGAACAAGTGCCTATCTCGGCACACCCCCCCCATTTTGCCAAGACGCACTCCTGGGCGTCTGTTTGAGGGATACATAAGGACGCAATTTGTTTAACGAAGGTCTTCTTCGTGGCGCTGTTTAGGTCTACGTACACACACCCGAAGAAGAGAAAAAGAAGAACATCAAAGGGATATGATAAACACCAGAACACAAAAAAAACAAAAATAGATATAGAAGAGATAGACAATGTGAAAACGCCAGTAATCAGTGGGACAGCACACTATTAATAGCAACTTTTTTTTTTTTTTTTACATGCAATTTATTCACACGTTACATACATGACTATCTTCGAGCCTAGCTCGGTTATATATTTACAAGTCTCGGCGATCGACGTTTTCTTCTCAGTAGTTGGTGTTGTTGAAGTTATTTTGACAATCGTTCATATTGGTGGCATCGTAATTATCTTAGTTGTTGATGCCTTGCTCACTTTGCCTCGTAGCTTCAGGTATAGAACTATTGAGGTGATAGTTGTTACACCTACTATACCTATAGCTATTGATAATCCATGTTGATAGAATGATGTTGTTGATTGTATCGGCGTTGGTGTTGGTGTTGTTGTTGTTGCTATCATATATTCGAACATATTCTTTATATCTCCCGGAATGTACGGGATTTTTTCCCATCGTGTATTATTGTTCATTGTTTGGTGTAGATTGATTAAGTTCGAATCATCGTAATTTAATTTTCTGTCATCAATGATTGTAATCCGTTTATCCGTGCCATTTGTTATACTTGGTAAAAGGAAGTGATCACAGCTCCATGTTGTTGATTTATCGATGGTGATCAATGAGATTGGAGGAATGGTTATTTCATTGTTCGTTGTTATAGCATGTTGTTCGTGCTCTAATTGTGGGACCCGGTGACACTTTGTTTCATTTATTGTCGATATTGCCCATTGTTGGCCAATTCGTTGTATAAATATTGGTTCCGGTTCAAGTTCAATGCGACATAACGTCAAGTTTGCGTCTGTAATTATCTCGAATAAGCATGTCTTCTGCCAATTTTTTTGGATTGCTGGTGTTTCACGGCACGACGATAGTAATTTAAATTGACATGAACCGCTTTCTTCTTTTGTCCATCGAATTAGTTCTAATGTTTTGGCTGAGATGCTAACAATATGTGGCATTTGTGCGAGTTTTAATCTCTGGTTTCCTTGGTTAAAAGGTATTGGAATGAGTTCGTATGTTGAGAATGATTGTTGGTTCTTGTTTGATGATGCAAAAAATGATGTAAATAACAGGTGACCGATCACACTTCGTTCTGTTGATTCATTGATGTTGCTTGGAATGAATTCAATTCGTTGTTGTATTAATAATCGATTAATCAATTCGAATATTGGCAGTGTATCGTCCGTTTCCGCCATGTTTATATGGATTTGTTCTGTAATGATTTGTATAACTCGCGGTAAGTCGTAGTGATGTATAAATCTTAGATTAAGTTTGTTGGCGAAGATGTCTTCGATGGCCTCGTGGATGAAGTGAGTTTCCACTGCGTGAGTCACAGCTGTTAACTCCTTTCTGAGGAGCCGCATCATTGACATCAGTGTTTGAATCGCTATGTTATGTTGTTGCAGTACATTTGAATGTTCATTTACCAAAACAATGGTGTTGTTCAAGGCGGCCTGTGTGTGATGTAATTCTTCTATAATTTTAACTTGACCTTTGGTCAGTTGAAAGAGTTGGGTGTTGTGGCCGTTCATTGAGTTTTGTAGTGTGCGGATCGATGTTCTGTCCGCTTTTACTTCCTTCTGTAGGTTATTCATTTGTATTATGTTGCTGGCTGATAATGCCGTTGAAGCTGTTCCAATAGCAATTGAAATAATGTCCATGATGAATCGTTTATTGCGTGGCTGTATTGTATCCTTTTTTCTTTCCTGCTGTTGTATAACGTTTGTTTTTGTTCCACGTTCATTTTTTTCTTGTTTTGTTTTTATGTTGCACTGAGGAATTTTTTTCATGGCTTTCAATGGTATTATATAGCACATGTCGCTCACCATGGGAATTGCTATTGAAATGGATGTTACGTCGTTGGCTGGTTTATATTCCGATAAATATTTCATTATAAGGCCCGATGATTTGTGTAATGTATCACGTTTGGGCAGAATAATTGTCGTTGCTGTAACAACTTGTATAATACATATTGCCATTAGGATTTGCATCGTCGTGTTGTGTTGCATCTTCTTTTAACTAAGTTATGAAATGTACCTGGTGCTTGTTAATGGAGAAATAATCCTCCTCCTCCTTCTTCTTCTTCTTCTTTTTCTTCTTTGTTTTTTTTTCGAAGTGCATCGATTCGATTCATTGGTTGTTTAATGATAATTTCGTTTCTTTCGCTAGATGCGATTGGTTTTCATGGTTGACAGGGTAGATATATATGTATATATATTTCTTTTTTTTTCCTCTGCTTACGTGTCGAATCGATGATATCAGCTGTAGTTTAATTCGCCATGTATCGTGTCGGCACCCTGCGGTGACGATTTGACACTCGGCGTTGAATTGGTTGATGACAGGTTGATTGTGGATTTTGTCTCTCCTTTCCTTGATCTAGATCATCTATTGATGGCTCGTCATTATTGATTGCCGTTGTCGTTTCTCTTGGATTGATTGTTTTGTTGTTTGTTGTTGTTTCTTGATTGTTTCTCTGTAGTACAATGTATGGTTTGAGGCGATCCGTATTCGTTGCCCCAAGTTCAACGTTATCCTTTAGCCGTCGTACCGTGAATGTATTTGATGATAATTGCTGGATTAGACGGCATGGACCTTGATAATGTGGTTGTAATTTTCCACCCATTGAATTTTCTCCAATTTGTGCTGTTGGAGTGGCTACCCATACGAGATCACCTTCAGTGTATTCTCTTTGTGTTGTATGTTGATCAAATTTTTCTTTTTGTTTTATCTTTTCAATTTCTGCATGTTCTTGAATAATATTATATGCACATCGTAAATTGTTGATCAACTTTCTCTTGTATTCTTGAATTAGTCCGTGATCAACTGTTGTTGATCTAGGTCCTTCTGTTGTTTCACCAACTAATAGATCAAGTGGACCTCTGAGATCTCGACCAAACATCATAAAAGCTGGGGTTTCACCTGTTGTTTCGTTCACCGCGGTACGTATTGCAAATGCTAATGTTTGAATTTCATCGTCCCATGAATTGTGTTGTTGTTGAGCATATATGGCAATTAACGGCTTTAATGTTCTATTGACACGTTCTGTCATGTTGCTTTGTGGGTGATAATTTGCAGTTAAATTTTGTTTAATACCTAATGTATCACAAAAATTTTTAAATAAATTTGAGACGAATTGCGGGCCATTATCAGATACAATGTATTGTGGCAATCCATATCTTGAAAATACTTCGTTCATGAGAATATTGGCCATATCGGTAGATGTAGTTGACTTCAGTGGAAATAGTTCGATCCATCTGGTGAAGTAGTCTACCACGATGAGAAGAAATCGTTTTTGTCTGGCCGTTGTCGGTAAAGGACCCATAATGTCTATGCCGATCGTGTGCCATGGTTCATTCACTAAGTGCATTTGCATTGGGCTTGCTGTTGGAGCATTATTGTATTTAAATTGTTGACATTCTTGACATGCAGCTATATACTTAAATACATCTTTTCTCATTGATTTCCAATATACTCTTGTTGATAATCTAAATAATGTTTTTTGTTGACCCTCATGTCCAGCTGTTGGATGATTGTGCGCCCATTCCAATAATTTATTTTGCATTGCTCTTGGAATAATTAGCAGATGTTTTGCACCCACGATACGTTGATTGTAATGTTTATTGGCGTTTTTAATTTTGTACAATAATCCATTTATCAGGATGTGGGGATTACGTTTATCATTAAAATCTGTTGATGGTTTTGTTTTTAATAATTCTATTATTGGTTTTAATTTGGAGTCAGCTTCTTGTTCTTTTCTTACATCGTCAAGAATGTTTGTATTTTGCCATAAGTTAACAGCTGTTTCGATTGTTGACACTTCGAGTTGATTAATATCATCATTTGGTAATGGATTGCGTGATAACGAATCGGCGTTAGCGTTTAATTTTCCCGGACGATATTTGATTTCTTCAATTTGATAAGCAGATAATTTCATCGCCCACCGGGCCAATCGACCTGTTACATCTTTTGCCGTACGCATCCATTCTAATGCTTTACAATCTGATCTAATATAAATTTTATTACCTTCGAGGTATGGACGAAAATATTTTGTTGCCCATACAATGGCTAACGCTTCACGCTCTGTGGCTCCATATTTTCTTTCGGCAGTTGATAATGTTCGGCTTGCGTAAGCTATTACATATTTTTCCCCATCATATTCTTGTGTTAATATGGCCCCTAGGCCATATTCACAAGCGTCGAGCTCCAATATGAACGACTGTTCGAAATTTGGTGTGTTCATAATTGGTGCATTTGTTAATCTTTGTTTTAATGTTTCAAAAGCGTCGGTGCATTCTTTTGACCATTTTAAATGATGATTGCCTTTTTGACAGTTTCGCAACTGTTGTAATAATGGTTCGGCTATTTTTGAGTAATCTTTGATGAATCGACGGTAATAACCGGTTAAACCAAGAAATGATTGAACATCTTTGATCTTTTTCGGTTGAGGAAAGTTTATCACTGATTTAATTAAATCTGGATCTGGTTTAATGCCATTCTGAGTGATAATATGTCCCAAGTAACGCATTTCTCGACGGCAGAATTGACATTTTGATGTTTTCAAAGTCAGATTTGCTGATTGAAGAGCTTGGAATACTTTTTCTAAATCTTTCACATGTTGTTCGAATGTTGGTGAGAAAATTACCACATCGTCGATGTAAACGAGACAGCATTGCCACTTGAGACCGGCTAACACTATGTCCATTAATCGTTGGAATGTTGCTGGAGCATTAGTTAATCCGAATGGCATAACATTAAATTCAAATAAACCTTTATGTGTTACAAAGGCGGTCTTCTTTCTTGAATCTTGATCCATTTCCACTTGCCAGTATCCGGAGCGTAAATCGAGTGTTGATACAAATTTCGCTTGTCGTAATGAATCTAATGTATCATCTATTCTTGGAAGTGGGTATGCATCACGAATTGTTACAGCATTTTATTTTCGATAATCAATACAGAAACGTAAGTTTCCATCTTTCTTTGGAACTAATATAACGGGTGATGCCCATGGACTTGTTGATGGTGAAATAATCCCTTGATCTAACATTTCTTTTATGTTCTGCTCGATTATTTGCTTTCTTGTTGGTGCATAACGAAATGGTGGTGAATTAAACGGCTGTGCCCCTGGAACTAAATTAATTTGATGTTGTGTTTTTTTTGTTCTTCCTGGTTGTTCGTTAAACACATCCGGAAATTGCTGAATAAGTTGTTTTATTTGTTCTTTTTGTTGTTCGTCTAAATCAGTGTTGATTAAACTTACATCACTGTCTGTTTTTGACGTCGTTTGTTTTGTTGCTGATGATATTGTTCCATGTTGCATCATATTTAATTGAATTTGATTAAGACGAGTCATTGTCGCCAGCGGCTGATTTTTATAGATCATAATCGTTCTTTCCGTTAGATTAGCCACCTGCAGTGTCATGTGTTCACATGGTGTAATAATGCCGTTGGCTACACGTGGAGTTTCTTTTATTGATGATACTTCATATTCATCTCTGTCATCTTCTTCTATAATTGCGAATGGTTTATTTGGTTTAACTTCAATGTTAAATGCATGAAATGGTGAAATCTTGACACGCTCATTGGCAATCAACACATATTCATCATCGTTCTTAATTGTTTCTTTTCTTTCCTGTTGCAGCTGCGTATTTTTTTTTCTTCGCTTTGAAGTATGCATATTGTTGTCCACCATCTATTTGAAGATTGTGTTCACGTATTAAATCATTACCAATAATACACGAACGCCATAATTTTGGGACCACGTAGACTTTATGTACACGAGTTGAGTTGGAGATGGTTATTGGGAGTGATAATGCATATTTAACATCGAGTTGTGATCTATCCGCCAATTGAAGACATAAATTGGATGGAGGGGGATATGCTCTTTGACGATAATACCGTGGCAATCGTCGAAAGAATTGAAGATTAATTAATGTGAGCGATGCTCCAGAATCGATAAGTAGTTGTGTTCGTCTTCCTGCAATCATACCTTGTAATATTAATGGAGTATTATTATAAATGTTCATAGTATGAATTTCGGCGGATAGTTGAACGGGATATTTTACATTGGAGCGCCATGGGCCCGTCCACCCTGTGCTCCATTGTCGTTTTTT